GGGGGGGGGGGACATCCCTGTGCAGCGTCCGGGACAACCAGGATAGCCACAACGGACTGTTCAATGTTAGACTGAGGGCTCTTTAGTGATTTGGCAGAATAAAGAAAACAAATTAACGTATGCTTTCTGAGGTGCTCAGAGACACTTTCCGCCTAAAAACCCCCCACAGTGGACGACAACAAATGTCCCAAGTCTGGAGCCTCCAGGAACGGTTTTATGCCACCAGCGACCAGAGCCCGTGAAGAAAGAGTAATTCCACCCACAAGAGAAACCCTTCTGAGATGCCTCCTAGGAGTTCACAAGCCAGGCTACATACACATTAGAACCTTCTGGAGAGCTTTGGGGGAAAGAAAAGGAAAGTAAGAAGACGCCTGGTTCCCATTCCCAGAGATCACTGCAGCAGGCCGGGGGAGGACCAGAATCTGTATACTTTCCCAGGTGATTCTGAGACACGAATGTTCAGAAACCTGGTCAGTGCGGTCTGAATTACAACCCATATCCCTACAGGCCGGGTTTGCATCCACACTTTCCGGCTCCTCACCTGACTTCTTGTATCCACCGAAGGGCAGCTCCACCGGGCTGACGTTGTAGTTGTTAATGAAGCACATCCCTGCCTGCAGCCCGGCCACCACCCTGTGGGCACGCTGGATGTCCCTGTGAAGACACAGTGTATTATATTATTGCAAAGCAGTTTATTCTGCGACTTCCACGGAAAAGGTAGACTGCCAGGTCTGAAGGTTTTGAGATCCTGCCGGATTCTTTATTCTTCAAGATGTGTTTTAAAACTTGCGTCATCCAGGCAAAAATAGATACAAGGATTTGAGTTTCACGGTCTCATCCAAAAGCATCTATAAAACACGTAGCAGCAGCAAGTTCAAATGGGGAGAAGGGACATTGTCACAAACAGGGCTAGAACAACAGGCTACCCACATTTCCACAAAGAATGAAGGGAGATCCCTTTCTTACACCATATATAGAAATTAACTCAGATGGATCACAGGCCTGAAACATCAGAGCAAAAACCATAAAACTTTTCAAAGAAAACAGGAATAAATCTTCATAATCTTGGGTCTGACAAAGCCCTCTCAGACAGGATACCAAAAGTAACAGACAAAAAGATAAAAGCATCAGGCTTTGTCAAAATTTAAAATTTTTGTGCTGTAAAGGAGAGTATCAAGAAAGTGGAAAACCCAACTGCCAGAAACCCAAATCAAAACCACAGTGAGGCACCATTTCCCACCCACCAGGACGGCTGAAGTGAAAAGGACAGACAGTGGGGTGCCTGGGTGGCTCAGTGGTTTAAGCATCCGGACTTCGGCTCAGGTCACGATCTCTCAGTTCGTGAGTTCGAGCCCGGCGTCGGGCTCTGTGCTGACAGCTCGGAGCCTGGAGCCTGCTTCGGATTCTGGGTCTCCGTCTCTCTCTCTCTGTCCCTCCCCTGCTCATGCTCTCTCTCTCTCTGTTTCTCAGTAATAAACAAACATTTAAAAAAAAAAAAAAAAAAAAGGACAGACAGTAACAAGGGCTGCCCAGGATGTGGAGAAACTGGAACCTTCCCGCGTGGCCGGTGGGCACGCCAGATGGTGCCCCCACATGGGAAAACAGTTTAGGGGTGCCTCGGAGTTGAGCAGAATCACCCAGCCATCCCTCCTCTAGGTATACACCCGGCACAAATCGCACATTTCCACACAAAGATAGGAGTGTTCGCGGAGACATTATTCATAGTAGGAGAAAAGTAGAAACAATCCCAATGTCCATCAACAGGTGAACGGATGAACAAAATGAATCCACACCATGGACCATTCATCACCAAGTACTGACAGCTGCCACGACATAAAGGAACCTTGAAAACATTATTCCAAGTCAAAGAAGCCAGTCACAGAAGGTCACATGCTGTATGATGCCGTATTTATAGAAAATATTCAAAGTAAGCAAATCTACACAGATAACAAGGAGGTTGATTAGTGGTTGCCGGGGGCCGGGGCGCGGGGAGGGGCGGGGAACATTCCATGTGTTCCTGGGAGGTTCATAGTTCTAAAATCAGATTACGGCGACGGTTGTGCGACTCTACAAATACACTAAAAACCACTGAATCGTACGCTTTAGGCGGATATGCTGCATGGTGCGTGAACCGACCTGCAAGGCTGTGAGGGAAGTGGCAGCACACTGGAGTCGCCCCCCTCATGACTGCCTCGCTCTGTGCTGGGGTGACTTAACCCACTCACTCCTCACACCACGAAAAGCAGGTCCGCAGAGGGGGTTTACAGGGCAGTGAAACTACTCCGTGTGATGCTGTAACAGCGGATCCATCGTCCAAACCCACAGAATGCACCACTCCAACCGTGAACCCTAGGGTGACTGTGGTCTTTGGGTGATCACGACCTATCCAAGTAGGTTTACCAGTTACAACCAGCGGGCTGCTCTAGAGGCGGGGACGCTGATAGTGGAGGCGGCTGGGGGGAGGGGGTGCATGGGAAACCTCTGTGCCTTCCACTCAGCTTTGCAGTGACCCTAAAATTACTCTAAAAAATAAAGCCTATCCAAAACCAGGCACACGAGAAAGCAGCAGCCCCTCGATCTTTTCTTCAGAGCTCACAGAGAAGCTATCCCATCAGGTCCTCAAGGGGGGACCTCAGTCTTCCTCCCCAGGTTGCTCGCCACGAAGCAACAAAGAACACTTAACCTCGACTGTCACCAAAGAAACAGCGTAATTCCAAGTGTAAAAGTAGTCTTAGAAAACCTCCTACCGCTACCAAAGACTAATCAAAGTTTGTACGTAATCGAGCAACCTGCCATCATTTTGAAGGAGATTCTGCTCCCAAATCACTTCTTACTTTTGTTATCGTGGTTACAGTTTACGTACAGAGAGATTAATCACAATTTTACTTACAACAGCGACAACTGGAAACAATATCCTAAATACGCAACAACCAAAAAAATGCCTACCTATTTTACAATGCATTCCGATTACGAACTACTATAAAGCGGCTAAAAATCACGTTTTTGAAGACTCCTGCCCAGCGTTTAAATGCTTATGGGCTTCTACATTCCCTGACGTGTACATTTTCAACAGGCACCTAACCCGATGCTTTACATAGACACATATCGACACATAGATCGGAACCTTAAATATCTGTCCGGTGAAATGAATGACATGGGATGGAATTTTCATCAACAATGTTTGTCCCTCACTTTAAACCCAACGGCAGCAGTTCTCTGGCCCTTCAGGACCAACTACAAAATGCTACTCTGGCACCTTCTGACTTCACCTGAAGCAAACAGAAAATGCTGACGACAACGTGCACTCCAGGGAGGAAATGCGAGTAACGGTCTCTGAGCAGACCGAGCGGGCCCCTGTTCCTGCAATGCTGCGGGAGGTGGCTTCCCCACATACCTGGTAAAGACACCAGCCGCCAGGCCAAAAGTGGTATTGTTGGCTCTCTCCAGAACCTCAGCTTCGGTGTCAAATGATAAAATGGACATAACTGGTCCAAAGATCTCTTCTCTCACACAGGTCATCTCGTCTCTGCAATCGGCTGCAAACAGGGTGATACAGCCAATGTCAGTGGTCTGTGGGGGGGCGGGGGGGGGGCAGGTGATTATGCTCGAATACACGGCAGTAAGGACAGCTTGAGAACCCTACTGTGAACATCAGCTTTGTATTAGCCGAAGTGTGAAAACCAGCTCCTCACACATGTGCAAAGAGGACAAGTCTACAATCTCTTAAGAGCTGGTTTAGAGCTTGTGTATAACGAAGGAGGGAAACTACTCTGGACACACGGTACTTTGGGGACACCCGAACTATCTTCAAGGATGTATTAAATAATTCTTAGCACCGTGTGTAAGGATGGTTCACTACGTCCTAATTCCTTGAAGACTAGTAATCCGCGTACAATTTTTAGGGAAACCGTTAGCCAGAAAAGGACTCAGGACAATGCATCACCCAGCAGTCCCAGAAAATATTTTCTTATCTCCTGCAAGTTGAGAACCCCATAGGTCTCTGTTTGCAGTGAATTCTATGTTGGAAAGTCAAAGGAGATGCAAAGATGAAGTGATAACTGACATACAGGAAAGGCAAGGTTCCTGCCTGAAACACAACACTTACCAGATTTTAACTCCCAAACCTTAAGTTAATCTAGACTCTGGACTCACTCTCAAACTTTAATGTGAGTAAAAATGAATCGGGGGCTCATTGAAAAGCAGATCACGAGGCCCCATCCCTGAGAGTTGCATTCAGCGGTCTAGAGCAGGAGCCAGGAAATCTGCCTCTTTAACAAGTTTTCCAAGTGGCACCGACATCATGGACCACAAACCAGGCTTTTGGCAATCACTAGAATAAAGTTCAGTATGGTCAGCTCCCTGTTCTTTGCCTAGGTTCACAGCCTGTTTAAGAATAATTTTGTCCCTGGGGCCCCTGGGTAGCTCAGTGGGTTGAGCGTCCGACTTAGGCTCAGGTCACGATCTTGCAGTTCGTGAGTTTGGGCCCTGCGTCGGGCTCTGTGCTGACAGCTCAGAGCCTGGAGCCTGCTTCGGATTCTGTGTCTCCCTCGCTCTCTGCCCCTCCCCCACTCATGCTCGGTCTCTCTCTCTCTCTCTCTAAAATAAATAAACATAAAAAAATTTAAAAAAAAAGAAAAGAGTAATTTTGTCCCAAGGGCACCTGGGCGGTTAAGTCACTTAAGTGCCAGACTCTTGATTTTGGCTCACAGTTTGTGAGATCAAACCCCGTGTCAGGCTCCGTGCTGTCAGCACGGGATTGTCTCCCTGGCCCTCCCCCCTTCACACTCTTTCTCTCTCTCTTAAAATAACCTTTAAACCAATTATTTTTTGCCTAATTGTCAAATACATGTTCTCTGTGGAAAAGTCCGTAGTATTCAGAAATGTACAAACTATAATAAAAATCATCTTTAATCCCAGCAACCAGAGAAATACTTATACTATTTATAAATATTTATACTATCTTATACTACACTATTTGTACTACTTATAGTTCGATGCATACTCTGTTCCTTCTTTTTCTGAAGTGCATACTTAATACATTTGGGTTAATCCCACACATAGTATCGTTTAACAGTTTTACTTACAACAGCTACAACTGGAAACAATATCCTAAACCTTGCCGGTTAAGAATATATTGTAAGCTTTTCCCGTTCACTTAATAACTACCAGCTAATCCATGTTATAGATGTTAGGTTCACAGCTTTCAAACCTCAGTGGTTCTTTTTTTAGCAAGGGCTCAAGGTTTAAAATCCATCGATTGAGTGCTGAAAAATGACCCCACTGTCTACCTTAGGGCAATAGGAAGCTGAATCTATCTTCTAGACAAGATGTAAGAAATCACACAATGTAATTCAACCTGAAAATAGTTTGTTGTTTTTTTTTAAATTTTTTTTAACGTTTTATTTATTTTGGACAGAGGAATATGAGCGGGCAGGGGCAGAGAAGAAGACACAGAAATCGAAGCCGCTCAGGCTCAGGCCATCGGCCCGACCTGGCCAGCGAACTCCAACCTCGCGGACATGAGATGGTGAGCCTGGCTGAAATTCGGACGTAACTGGTGAGCCACCAGAAGCCCCTGAATATAGTTTTTTAAAATATTACCACTGTTTTTACATACTGGCATTTATTCGTGGATCCTAGCAGTATGCTGTGTAAAGACAGGAAAGAAGGATATGAGAACAAACGTACCAGGGCAGTGAATTCACCTCTGAGTGGGAAAGAAATAAAGTGGATTTGAGAGGACAAGCAGGATGACCCTACATCAGGCTATCCCGCATCCTGAGATGTTTTGCAAATGAAGGAAGTGCTAAAAATTATTAAATCAGTATTAATTTAAAAAACATACCCAGTGACAAACTGGAAGCTGATGGCCAGGCACATATAAAGAAAAGAGCCTATTCTTCTTTCTTGAAATGAAAACTCATTAGTTTTTTAACTATCTTCCTTTTTTTTTTTTTTTGAGCTTGTTGAACATGGGACAGACCCAGTTGGAGTCTCAGGTAAAAGCAAGCCTAGCCTGTCCAGAGGAGAACTGGGAGGTATGAGGAGAACTTCTATAGCCAAATCTGAGCAGCGGGGACAGGTTCCCAATGCCTGCTTTACACCACCTACGTGTTCCTATGAAATCCTCCTTTTCTAGCTGATATTTAAATTCAAACTGTTTAAAATGAAAAGACACCCTCCAGCATAAGGATCTCATGTATATTCATCCTTTAACTTGGGATCTTCAGGTACATAGGCAGCGATCTCCCACCGCGCAACACTTTAGCACCTGCGAGGAGAAAAAAAAGAGCATTACGTTTCATGGTGGTTTTTTTTTAACATTTATTTATTATTGAAAGACAGAGAAACAGAGAAGGAGCATGGGAGGGGCAGAGAGACCCCAGGAGATCGAGCAGACCAGGGCCAGGGCCTGTCTTTCAGAGCAAAGGCAGGAGACTCGAGACACCAGCCGTGAGATCATGACCCGAGCTGAAGTCTGACGCTAACCGACTGAGCCCCCCAGGCGCCCCACATTTCATGTTAAACTTACAACCCTGACACGCAGTCCTGAAGTGGTACGTGTGTCCTGAACAGACGCCCGGTCACGCCACTGCAGGTACTGAGCACAGCACTGCCGAGGCCTCGCGAGCCAGCAGTAAAGCGACACACATAACGTGCAGCTCGGACTAATTCCCCTCCCCCTGCCCATGCCATCTCCGCTTGCTCCTCACCTGCTCTTTTGCCAGCTCAATAAACCCAAGGACTCGCTCCAGGTGTGGGCGGTTGATGAGGGGGCCCATCCTTGTACCTTCCAGAAGGGGATCTCCAATTTTTATCCCCTGCGTCCGTTTCACCACTTCCTTTGTAAATTTCTCGAGAATTTCCTTTTGCACAAATACTCTTGTGCCATTACAACAAACCTAAAAGACAGACATGAATTTGTATGTGTGTTAAGGAAAGAAAAAGGAAAAGGGGGAAGAATCCGGCAGTTTTAAACTTAAAAGGAGACAGTAGACCTTTTCAAAAGGTTAGTTCCATCTCTAAAAATTATCCCCATACTGAACAGGACCACACATACCCCCCTAGCAGCAAAAAACCTGCCTGCGCTTTGAGGTGAAAGTCAGGTCTCTTTGTCTGTCTACATTTCCTCAATGCCATTCATAGTGCCATGAGCCACGTAACTTCTCCTACGGCCTCCTGTCAGTGGCTGAATGGGGCCACGTATTTTAAGAGCAGAAGGGGAGGAAGAGTGAAAACAGACCAAGAACTAAAGGCATGAGCCTAATAATTTCACAGTCAATGTCTGGCTCTAAAATCACAAATCAATTCTGACTATTTAGACCCTCCTGTAGACATGAGCATGAATACTCTTCCAATTCCATCAGAACCGTAGATCCTGATGTCCAAAAATACACCAAGCACTCATGCTCACGGAATAATGAAAAAAGGTCACAGAAATGGGCTGCCACAAGCCAGATCTACAGTCATTTGAGCATCAAAATAAATAATGACAGGAATGGACTATAATCCACAGAAAAAGAATCCATGGTCCATAATGATAAATGAGTGGGAAAGAAAAAAAGAAAAACACAGGAGAAGGAAAAGTTCCCTCTTACAGTAGAGACTTGGAACTAATAAATGTAGAAAGAACAACAGAATTGGAAAATCACCATTTGGGGACCACCATAATAGAAACTGCTTCCAGGAAAAATCACCAAAGGGTGCTAAGATGAGTGGGGGACAGCTTGGGAAGGCACAGAGGCCTCTGCCACCGTCTCCTGTGTGATTCGACTGAACCACAGAGGAGGACACGGCAACTTCCCAGGAAGACACGCCTTTGGCAAAGTCAACCGCCCTTCGAAGAGGACCCAACATCACTTTTTGTGGTGGCTTCTGCCCAAAATGCATAACCTAAATCTACTCAAAAGGAAACACCAGACGGACTCCCCACCATCATGAGGGACATTCTACACAATAAACAGCTCATACTCCCCAAAAATGTTAAGGTCCTGGAAAGAGGAGAATAACCAAAGAGCTAACTGTTCCAGACTAAAGATTATGGAAACACAACAACTAAATGCAACACACCTTCCTGAATTAGGTCTTGGACCAGAGAAGAGGTTGTGTGGGGTCTGTTTCTTCGCTAAAAGGACTCCCGGCAAACAAATGACAACATCTGATGAGGGGCTGTGGACTGAAGACCGTCTATGTGAGGTTACTGATTTTACTGAATGCACTGTGCTTGCGGAAGAGAGCACACTTGTTTCTAGGAAATGCACAGAGGCCCACAGAAGTTATGAGTCTTGCGTCTGCAAACTTTCAAACCGTTCAGGAAACAGGAAAAAATAACAAGCCTACGGGTGTACAGAGATAAACACAATGATAAAGGAAATGTGATAAAATGTTAACATCTGAGAAACATGGGTCGGGGTGCCTGGGAATTCTTTGCACTCTGTGCAACGTGTCTGTCAATCTGCAATTATTTCGAAACAGCTTCAAAACATGCTGCTAGACAAAGGAAAGAGATTCCTTTCACCCCTCGGCTGGGGACAAGTGCTCACCTCGCCTTGCGTGAGGAAGTTGGCCATCAGCGCTCCCTTCACGGCGTTCTCCAGGTCACAATCGGAGAAGATGATCAGGGGAGATTTGCCTCCCAGCTCCAAGGTAATGGGTTTGATTCCTTTAGCTGCCATCTCCATGATCTTAACAAGAACAAACACATTCAGAGGCTTAGCACAGATAAAACTGCAGGCTAAGCCCACCAGAAGCTGAGCCTCCGGGACAACTACACAGGACCTGCAGCCTTGTTCCGGTCGATGACTCTGACCTTCACCCGTTTAGAACAGTCTTTTCCAGAACACCTGAAAAGAACCATAGGACTGCAGCTGACATTCTGAAGAGGGAATTCATTTTATTTTATTTTATTTTATTTTATTTTATTTTTTTTAACGTTTATTTATTTTTGGGACAGAGAGAGACAGAGCATGAATGGGGGAGGGGCAGAGAGAGAGGGACACACAGCATCGGAAACAGGCTCCAGGCTCTGAGCCATCAGCCCAGAGCCTGACGCGGGGCTCGAACTCACGGACCGCGAGATCGTGACCTGGCTGAAGTCGGACGCTTAACCGACTGCGCCACCCAGGCGCCCCGGGAATTCATTTTAAAAATACTGTTCATTCGGGGGGGCCTGGGTGGCTCAGTCTGTTGGGCGTCCAACTTCAGCTCAGGTCATGATCTCATGGTTTGTGGGTTCGGGTCCCACATGCGGCTCTGTGCTGACAGCTCAGCCTGGAGCCTGCTTCGGATTCTGTGTCTCCCTCTCTCTCTCTCTCTGCCCCTCCCCTGCTCACGCTCTGTCTCTCTCTCTTTCAAAGATAAAATAAACATAAACATTTTTTTTTAAAAAATACTGTGCATTTGCATGCCCTGGGTAGAAACTCCTAATGCTGTTACTATGTTCAAGGCTAACAATCAAGGTCAAAACAACACATCTGAAATAAACTGAGCAGCTACCCCTCCTTCTGAGGTGGCTGCTACTGATGAGTTAAGACACCAAAGACACAGCGGCGGCCCAGACCCTGTGCTCTCAGACGCGGGCGGGAGGTGAGGGCTTCCGTCCCTGCGGGGCCCCCTCTGGTCGGCGGTCCTCATCGTCCCACTGTACTTCCCTCCCTGCTTCACACCTTCGGAACACACTTCAGATCTCTGCCCCCAATCTCTGCGGCAGCCCCCTCCCAGTTCAAGCCAGGTCAGATCAGAAGACGAGCCTCTGACATCTACTCCACGCCGGCTGGGCACTGCCGTGTGTGTGTGTGAACCGATGCTGGTTTTATCTTCACCTTCGAGCCAGTGGGCACACTCCCAGTGAAGGAGACTTTGGCCACATCATGATGCAGACACAGAAACTGGCCCGTGGCAGCCCCTCCTTGCACCACGTTGAAGAGCCCAGGGGGCACGCCGGCCTCCGTGTAGATTTCAGCCAGCAGCAGCACAGACACCGGCGTGAAGGGAGAGGGTTTGAAGATCATGGCGTTACCTGCACAAACCCAAGACACAAGAACAAAAGGTTTTTTAATACTGGTGATCCTCCGAGGACAGGATGGGACAGGAGGACGAGTCCAGAACAACTCCACAGGTGCCTAGTGGCGCAGCTGGTTGAGTGCCCGACTCTTGGTTTCAGCTCAGGTCATGATCTCACGGTTCGTGAGTTTGAGCCCGGAGTCAGGCTCTGCACAGACAGCACAGAGCCTCCTTGATATTCTCCCTCCCTCTCTCTCTGCCTCTCCCCTGCTCACGTGCGCGCACTTTCTCAAAAACAAACTGAAAGAAAAATCTTTACAAGTAGAAACTGAAGACCAGAAAGGGTTAATTTGTTGAGAGTCTCCAAACCAGGGGCTTAGCTGTAGTTGTCCCGGGGAAACGGAAGCTTCAGCTCACAAGAGAACATGCAAAAAGCAGAAGAACACGAGGCAGCAACACGAGAAAAACTGCGACTTCAACACAATGTCCTAATAGTAACATTTTTTTTCAGTAATGCTTTTTTTACACCTTGTATTTTTCTAAGATACCATAAATCCTCTTTTCCCATCAATTCCTCTTTAAACAGTATGAAAAACTTTCTAAGTCAGCCCGCCAGTCACTCAGAAGGAAGTCTTACCATTTCTCTTAAGACACAAAGGAAGGAGCAAGTATTATCTTCTGCTTAAGTCAGACTCCCAAGTGCCTCTTCCTTTTTTTTTCTTTGTTTAATGTTTTATTTATTTTTGAGACAGAGAGAGACAGAGTATGAGTAGGGGAGGGGCAGAGAGAGAGGGAGACACAGAATCTGAAGCAGGCTCCAGGCTCTGAGCTGTCAGCACAGAGCCCGACACGGGGCTCGAACTCACAGACCGTGAGATCATGACCTGAGCCGAAGTCGGACGCTTAACCGACTGAGCCACCCAGGCACCCCCCGAGTGCCTCTTCCTACACAAAGGTTCATTTCACAATCCTTGTCCAGAAAGGAAGAGAGCTTACAAGTAGCACAAATCGAAATCAATTCCACAGTAAAATAGAAGACTTCCAGGACCAAAATGAACACCCTTCCTTTCCATAACAAAAATAAGATAAATAAAAGTGGGAATGGGGGCGCCTGGGTGGCTCAGACAATTGAGCATCCAACTTTGGCTCAGGTCATGATCTCATGGTCTGTGGGT